GTATACAGTATAAACTACATGTGACATTAACTTAAAGTCACAGGGGTGGGTGCTTTGCATTATGCTAACTTGTCTGTTCCTTGTGTCTTAGCTACTGCCAAACGGAGGATGGGAGAGAAAGCTGCTCAAAACCTCTGAGGTTTTTATAGTGGGATGGAAAATCCTCCATGGTGGCAGAGGAGGAAAGGTTTCTGGGTGAAGGGAAGTGAGAGGATGCAAGGAAATGTAAACTAGCATAACGAAAATCCCTCTCCAGTTCAGTGTTCCGATTTAAGAGATTTCACTTTCTCCCCAAACCCGATCGCTCATCTTTTTAAACTGAAAATACTTTGCTCCTTAAAACTGCCAAAATCACATAATCCCTCTGAAAACTGCTATGGCAGCCACGATCACTTGCTCAACAAACTTTATACGCCAGGTAGTGTTAAACTGTAGTCAAAAACAAGAGCATCACACCCCTGACAGCCCTGGATGGCCAAACTCTGTCGCCACTTTGGCTCTGCACACGTAATGCTCCACAAGGCGAGTACACAGACACTGGACAATCAGTAACTACGCTGTGAATATGTCCCCCCTTTGCCGCACTTCTACTCAAACACACCTCAAACAGGTGAACTAGAGCTGAGGACCTACGATGTTATTACCCGCTGTGCTCTACAGCTGCTCCTCATCGTCCTGCCTCAGTGTGACCTTCCCTACTGCCATCTGATCTTTTTTGTTTCTGTTCTTTTTCTTTTGCAGTTTGCATGAGTTGCTCTAAGTTTTTTTTTTTTTTTTTTTTTTCCCCCCAAGCGTCAAGGTGACACCCAAATTTTTAATAAGTTAAAAACGCTGAAAGTTTCCAAAGGGTAGAAAAATCTGGATGTGTAGTTGAATGAAAGTTTTCTGTAATGTGCTATGGGTGTGCATTCTTTGTGGTCATGACATGCTGATCAGTGTAAAAATGTGGCAATACACAAGGAGACACAACGGCTATGGTCAGCATTTCCAGCAACAATGAGCAATACAGAGTGCAGGCTGAAGAACTGATTTAAAAATTTCACAGGGGATTGGAGTTTCCACAGGTGTCACTGCTGCAAGTGTTAAGTTTAGCTGTCAGACACAGGCTAAGGTGTTTATACTCTGTACCTGTTGGAATGTGTGTGTGTGTGTGTGTGTGTGTGGCCTCCTGTGGCAGTGCTCATTGCGTTTACTGCAACATATTTGCTTTGGTTTTAATTTAAATAAAGTTTTCCCTCTTATGTGTTAAACTGTGAGGTTCTGTGTCAAACAAAAAAACGTATTTTGATTAAAAAATAAATGCAAGTAAGAGTTGTGCTTTGCATTTTACTGTTTTTGTTTTGTTTGTTTGTTTCTGTAGGAAAATCGTGTTGCAAATAGTTTTTGCATATTTGTCACATCATTAAATGTAAGTATTAGACAAAGATGACACATTAAATATAAAGTGCAGTTTTAAAATGATTCCATGTGTCAAGAGAAAAAAAGTGATCCAGACCTATCTGTAGTTGTAATGCCAAAACTGGGCTCCAGCAGATTCTAGGGACAAATCGGATATCGCTGTCCAGGAGAGTGCAGGCTTAGGACAGCTAAAATGCTGCGCAGGGTCCTCAGACTCCTGAGCTTGAGGAACACACATGCTCCAACTCACACCGACTGAGCAGGCTACCTGTTCAGTTGCTCAGTGCAATTATTGAATCAACCAATCACATGGCAGCAAGTCAGTTGGGCATGCAGACATGCTGAAGATGAACTCCTAAGAAACTTGGCACCAGAATGGTGAAGTAATTCAGAGTTGGTGACAGGATGAGCTACATGTTGGTGATATACTGGTGTTTCCCCACTCAGCCATCTTTACGGTTTTCAGAGAATGGTGCAAAGAGGCAAAAATATTTAGTCCAATCCACATCATTGATGTTGGAGAATGACCAGACCGCTTTGAGCTGAAAGGGAGGCAACAGTAACTCATGTAACCACACTTACAATCAAGGTATGCAGAAGAGCATCTCTACAGCAGCAGAAGACCACACCAGGTATTAGCTATTAACAGGACCCTGAATTCACAGGGATTCATCAGAAATGGACAGAAGATTGGAAAAATGTTGCCTGTTGCAACAGGCTGCGACATTTGGATAGTAGGATCAGAATTAATAACACAGGGGTGCGGCTCCATCCTACCTTGTATCGGTAGCTCAGATTGGTAGCGGAGTGATGGAATCAGGTATAATTAGTACAATTTGGCCTCTTAGTATCAACTGATCATTGATTAAACATCACAGCTTACCTGGGCGTTGTTGCTCACCATCTTCTCATGGTAGCTTCCTGCAGGAAGACTGTATTATGCTAATTGATTTTGGTCGTGGTGCACCCTGCAAATAGCCTGTTTACTAAAAACACGTGTGACCAGCGGAAGCATGGTTTCATGTTATATGGAGCACTGTTGTACACGGTTCAAACAGGTTGACTAATGATGGGAAACTAGAACTGGAAGTGGTTTTCATATGATGATAATGATGCAACTGAACTGCAAGCAAAGCAAAGGATGTGCTCCTATCCCCCAAAGCAATTAGCATCAGCTTTCACCTCCTTTTCTTTTTTCTTGCTCCTGAAAGAGCTCAGAAAGTATCGCCTGTTTACAAATCAAACACTGATGCACAATGAATTCATAATTCTTCAAAGAAACTGGAGCTCCTGTATTTTTTTCAACATTTGTGATTTAAAAATGTGAATGTTTCTCCATTGTATGCCACAAACTGGATTTCTTTAAAAACACAATTGATTCTTGAAGATGAAAAGACATCTTCAAAGAAATCTTTTATTACATAAAAAAATATTGTTTATCATGTTTCCCAGGCCAGAGTGCAGCCTTTACATTTACAACAGCAGAGCAAGTCCAAGTTAAAGTCAGACAACATAAGTATCTTTCACAATCAGACCTACAGACCTCTGTGTTCATAAACCAGACTAAATACATGACCTACTCTCCATGACTGTACACATCAAAACTAACCAACCATTCCTTATTTGTTTTTAAATCATCTGTGGAGATGATGTAATTATTACTATTGCAGTTTTATTTTATTTGAACATATCTGCCATGCTGTATTTCTTCTAGAATTCTAGAAATGAACTTAAATTGTCACTTTTTAACTTTTTTTTATTGTAGAAGTTAATTTATATTCTTTATATTTAATTTTTCATTTAGTGTTTGAAAAAGAGGGCGGGCAATTTTTTTTTATATTTCATATATTTTCTCAGCACACTTTTTTCCCACTTGTGTAAATATGGTATGCACCAGAAAGTCTTAAATACATCTCAGTAATCCTTTATACACAGATGCTGTACTGCTCTTCTTTTGTGCTTGCTCCTGTTTGTTCTCGCTTGTCTCTGTCTTTTTCTTCCTCTCTGTGGGTACAGTCCACCAGATTAATCAACCTGCACACCTGAGCCTTATCCTTCCCAGCTCCTCCACTGGCTGTGATATAGTTTAGTCACTCATGTCGTGACCATGCTTCGACCACCTTTCAGTCTTGTGGTTTTTCTGTGCTTTGGGTTTGAGGTAACTCGTCTCTCCCTGTGCTTCAGGTTTTCCTGCTCAGCTGTGGTTAAATATTGATCTCAGATGCCCACACCAAGTTTTTGAACTGAATCGGTTTTTCCTGCTCCGCTGCCATCTCCAGATCGGCAAGTCTCCTCGGTTCATTCTTTAAGTGCAATAAATCTGACTCAAAATAAACTGAAATTCAGTTTCCATGTCCTGCTGTTAGCTCTGGGTACATAGTTCAAAGAAATCACCAAAGTCTGACACACAGATGGAAAAAATGAGATGAGTTTCATGGCTGGAATCACCAATTTTAGGAACAAATAATTGCAAGTCTTAATTTTTATGCCAAGCAGAAAGTTTTCACTTTGTCTTGTGTCTTATCTTATTCAACTTACTAAAAATATATATGTATATATATTTTTTACAAATCTGCCATTCAAGGGATTGTTTGATATGACCATGGATAAATTAACCTTTTCAGGCATCTGGGGGGGAAATTATGGTTGCTAACAGATAAATTGAGATGATTTTAGCACATGTCATAAATGTCAGCATGTTGCCTTGTTTGTTCACCTAGTGTGAGCACATTTATTCCTTCTGACCTTACTTCCTTTGCCCTCCTGCTTGTTTCCAAAGCTTTCTCAGCACATTGATTTTTCCTCATTCTCAAGCTTTTAAAAAGCAGCTTTGAAAACATTTTGATTTCAAAGATTCAGCACCTGGAAAACTACCAAAGACCAGCAAATAACTGGTGTTCAGTCAGACTGTGAGAGTTTTGCAAAAGAGGGGGCGAGGGTATGTTATCTGTGTACAAAGATGACTTTGAAATCTTTCCCTCTTGATTGTGTAAACTCTCCTGAAGTGCAAATCATGCACCATCTGGTTGTGTGGGAGGGGGCTAAAACAAAACACACAGAATTCAAACATGGTTAAAGCGCAGCTCTGCTTCTTACTGAAAACAGTTTTTAAGATTTTGTAGGATTTTTCTTTGTTTTAGGAAGCTAAACGATTCTGCATCCTATTATCAACAAAACAACAGAAACAAACACTGTGTTCAATCCATGAAGCAGATTCTTCCAACATGATTCCTTAAAGTTGATGCAGAGTTCTCATAGCTGAAGAAAAATGTCATTTTATGCCACAACTTAAACTGCTTTGCTGTCGGCAGCATCTTTCTTCCCACGGCCTCGCAAACAGTCTGGTCAGTGAGGTCCTAGGTCACTCTAACCACAGCCAAATCTATTCTGTGGCAGGCAAACGTCTCCTCGGGTCCCTCTCCAGCTCAGTATATGTGAACAGCCAGCAGAGGTCAGCAGCGGTCTCCGTTTCTGTGATGGCACAAAGGCAGCAGACCAAATATTTTCCTTCACCAACGTGAACAATTTTGTCTAAACATCCATTTTGTCAAAGAAGAATTGGATAAAAGAGAATTTGGTATCATTTAAAACATTTGTATTTGTAGTATGAAAAAAAAAAAAACCCAAACAAACATCCGTCCTTGTTGGGATTTTGATAGAAAAGTCATGCTTCGCCTGTGAAAATGAAAAGGTCCACAGGTTTGCATGTGAAAATATCTAAAAAAGGAATTATTCTGAATATAAAACCTGGAAGATTGCATTTTTTTTCAGATATATTTGATTTTTTTTCTCAATTAAGCCTTAAAAATGATTAGAAAAATGAGTAGTGTGACATAACTTGATTTGTAGACTCCTCTTGTTTAAAATTAATTCAAGACACAGCTCTCACAGGCAGGAGAGGCTGTTAATGTGGATTTCATTAATCTGCCAGGGTTTAATATTCATGTGATTTTTTTTTTTGTTTTATTGTAGCTGATTATTGCTATAAACACACACACACACACACACACACACACACACACACACACACACACACACACACACACACACACACACACACACATACAAGATTATGTAAAATAATATTATATTTATCCTTCATGTCCCAATAAGACAGTCATATCGACTGGTTGGTGAAATAACTCCCAGCACTAGAAAAAAGTCAGACTACAGCTGACGTCTTCTTTAAGAAAAACTCTACATATCTAACAAAAATAAATTCAAATTCTGAGTAAAACAATACAGGAGAAATAAGAAGTCATTAATCAACATCAGTGAGTGAATGATCCATCCAGGGAAAGCTGAAGTCTCCATCATGAGATCTTCCTCTGCAGTTGTTGAGGAAGATCTCGTAGCACACGCACCACAGATTCTTAAAAGAAAATTATGTTTTCCCAGAAGGTGCGACGTCCTGACAGGTTTGTAAACTTTCTCCATTTTGACATAGGCTTGGTTTTAGTCTCTTGGCCAGCATCATTACAACATTTGTGCCTATTCTTTGATCCAGATCTGTTTCCTATAAAATCGTAATCTCAGTCTCTTGGTTCTGGTAAGCCTCATCCTGCATCTCAGTGTCTAGCTGGTCCATCCTCTGGTAGGCCTGGTATCCCTTTTTACCTGCAGACAGATTGAAAGAAAAAGTAATAAAAGAAATAAAAATACAATATAGGTATATAAAAAAAATAACCCTGTGATGAAAAGGGATAACGCTTGTACCAAAGGAGAGGACAGTTTCTCTGGCAGCACTACGCAGATCTTCATCTGTTGATCTCCATAAATCTGCTATGTGGTCCACACTCTCTGTCGCCTGACAGAAGAACACAAAACAAAAACAAACAAACAAACCAACACTTATGCTAGCTGATAAAAACCAGAGAGTTCTGAAAACAGGACTTCCGAGTGTTGCTGTGACTGTGTAGAGTTGTGTTCTGCTTACCCGGAGGCATTTGAGAGCCAAACAGGAGCTCTGCTGGATTTTAATATCAATGCTTTTCAGACTTTCTGTGTAGTAAAGCACCGCCTGAAGAAGAAAGTACACACACACACACACACACACACACACACACACACACACACACACACACGGTGTCACTTATGCTGCTGGATTGGCCTCATACACTGTATATAAAAGATGGCTGTGGCCACTGTAACATAACCCACTGGTTTAGTGTTTTTTGGAGCCAGAAGTTACCACATCTGGACAGGAGGGTGGAATGCTAACTTATCAGTTAATGCCAACAAAATTATCAAGCTGCATTAATAAACTGAATGGTTGCAATACACGTAACTGTTAATTCTAACAGACTAAAAGCACTAACGATAACAGAAGCACATCTGTCTTTGTCGTACATCAAAGCAGACCATATTATGTCAGATTACTCAATTGAAATAATTCAAAAGGCTCCAAACAGCACGTTAGATCTTTGGGAATCCAGTTGAGTGACTGGAATTAAAAGCTGGAGATGGCTACAGCTCCCACTACAAGCAACAATATCCTAACTTTAAGCCTTATCACTATGCAAATTAGACATTTTATTAAAAAAAAAAACCTTTATATGTTGCTATAAAAGGAAGAATCACTGACAAAGGCTAAAATGTTCTTTTACAACAAGGCTGTAAGCATGCTTTTTTAATGCTGTAAAGTTAGACATTTTGACATGGAAGTCAATGGGGATTGACTCATTTTTGGAACAAGCCTCAAGTGGTCATAAGAGTAACTGCAGTATAGCTTAATTTTTCAGCTCCAAGCACCACAAACTGTCGATATGACAATATTAACTACAGCAAATTAAGGTTCATGCAATGCTAGTAAAAGGGACTGTTAGGCCTGTGATAAACTAAAGCACCTTACAAGCTGTCGAGTCCAAGTCTACCCCACCTCTCACTCTCACACGTGGGATAAAGGCGCTGGTCATTTGTTTTATTGATATTCACACTGGTAGCCATAAACCAATGTTTTGGACGCCAAATCCTTCCCTAATATTAAGATGTGGATTTACATTGTAGCTGTCATATCAAAGTCCAATCAATAAAGTTCAAATCCTTCAGAAAGAATTATCCACTAAGTGGGCTATAAAACAATTTCCTTCGAACTTATTAACCCGAGTTCCTCCAGTGGAAATGCACAGAGAGCTCCTTCGCTGGCTTGCTGTAAAATACCTCATTAGTTTTAAAATTCTGCTTCTTACTTTCAAGTCTCTCCATAACCTCGCACCTCTACATCTCTCTGATTTTCTGCATGTTGCTCTTCCTTCCTGTATTGAGTTTTGATATTGTTATTATATCCATACTGTGATTTTAATATTTCATTGCTTGTAAGGTGTCTTTGAGTGTCTTGAAAGGGGCCTATAAATAAAATTTAGTATTATTATTAATCTCTGCAAAAGATGACTTGTTTTCATGTACCTTGTTCCTGAAGGCCTTGCAACCAGCAGCTCTGGAGATGCAGTTGGTGGCAGCTTTGCAGACTTTGTGGTTGGAGTCGATCTGCAGGGAGGCGAGAGTCTGCAGGGTGCATCCCAGTGGAAGTAGCTCTGTGATCTTCCGGCGCCTCAGCTTATTTAAAGCCTGCCGCCGTTTGGGGCTACTCAGGGCTGAGAGGATGTACTCTGAAATGCACCAATGAATAATAATGAACAACAAAATAATTAACAACATACCACTGAGTGAGCTGAGTGAGGGGGCTCACATCCAGTTAGCAGCTTTCATTCAAATCTCATGATCTTTATGAAACGTACTTATTACTGTTGGCTGAAAAGTTTTAAAGTTCACCCTTTATGGAAACCGGTCAGGAAAAGGAGAGGAAAACGAGGACCGTTCATTTAATAATTATAATAACAATATTTTTGGTTTAACTGTTTCCTTCTCTTGGTGCTGTATTAACATTCTTACACATATTTGTGTGCACTGTCATGGTCCTGACTCTTTGTTCCAGTATTTTTGTTCCATTTCTGTTTTTTGTATTTTTGTTCCATTTCTTTGGAAGTTTAATTTATGTTCTAGTTCTTGAGTAAGTTTGTCTATAGTTCTTGGTTTCTTAATTGACCAAATTAGTTTCCTTTTGTGCCCAGTCTGTCTCAGCCTCATCTCTGCATTTTGTCACCCTTTTTGTCTCCTCAGTCATGTCCTCGTCTTTGTCTGGTCTCCCTGTGTCCCGTCTCCGCGGATGTCTAGTAAACATGTCTTCAGTCCCGGTCCCTGTGTTTATCCTTTCCTGTTCCCATTATGATCTCTCTGTGTTTCATCCTTTTGTCTCCCCACTCAGTCATGTCTCTGGTCCCTGTGTCAAGTTTGCATTTCTTAAGCTGGGTCTCTGTGTGCATTACTTCCCATTTTATTTTGATAGTCCCCCATCTCGGGTGTGTGATGTTCAATTTTGGCTCCCCCGTCTCGTTAGATTCTGTTAAGCCCACTCTGCCCTCCCACTCTCTCCTCCTGTGGACATATCATCTGCCTCTCCCTTGTAGTGTGTGTAGCTTCCATTGGTCCATTTTGGCTCCCTATTCCTACCCAGCTCAGTCATTGTTTTTGTTTTTTGTTTTCTTCACCCTTTACCAGCGTTAATAAAGCCGTGATTTTGAGTCATGCATCCTGGGTCCACTCTCTGCTGGCCGGTTCACAACATGCATAATATTATCATGAAACAGAATATGCTTGTATTTTATTTTTATTTATTTATTTATTTATTTATTTTTATTACATACTAGAACATTGTGTAATGTTTTTGCAGCATAAAAAGTAAATGATGTTTTATCTAATCTCTCTGGCACACTTTTTGTCTTTCTTTGTCTTGTAAACTCCACCCACTGAGATTTATTTCAGGAGTTATTTGTCCCCAAATGAACCAAGCATACAAATGCTGTTGTTGTTTTAGCATTTTTTTCCCTCTTCAGTGCAGTGGTATGCAAACCAAATGCAGTTTAGCACTTAAATAAACAGAAGACATCTGTATACTGTAGCGAAATCTAGCAGATTGAACAAGAGGAGGTGGAGGAATGGAAAGAGCAAAGGGGAGGCGGAAAAGTTGCTGTGTGCTCATGTTTATAGTTTGACACCAGGAACTGTGTGTTTGTTCTTGAAATTTATTGAGCCTCTACAGAGGCTTGTGTCCCCCTGAACTAAACACAAGTACTACTTCAAACTATTGACATCCTGCATTTCCAGGCTCCTTACTCCATCTGTGACAAATGCAAGCCTAACGCAGACTCAATATTTCCTCATATTTTCCTCAAACAGTCCTTTGAAGGTCTGCTTACTATTCTTCACTACTGAAGAAATATTCTCACAAGATGTAAACCTCAAAATATTTCTCATAAACAGGCGTGCAAGAGAACACACCCTGTTTGTTTGGGGTGACCATTTGGCTGTAGAGTTAACAGATGGTCCAGATGCCTTTAGTGAGCTGGAATCTCTGGAAGCTTAGAAGTATAACACCATCCCATTCCTGATACCTCCAAACACAGTCTTTGGAAATGCCTCCCATGTATAACTTCTGTATAAATACTGTAAAGTTTCAAATATAAAACTATTAAAATGGGTTCATATGGAAATGAATATTCCATGTTTAATGTCCTACGGTGTTTGGTTATAACTTACAGTTATAAATACAATGTGGCTACTACTACTATTACTCACTGTGATATATGTTTATTTCACGAAAGTTTTTTAAACGAATAATAAGTTAAGGTAGATAATAGTGATATATTTATCTGTTGACAACTTTGTAAATTGAAGCTTTACCTTCTTTTGAGAGGCGGGAGATGTGCTCTCCAAGCTCCTGGAAATTCCAGCGCTTCAGGTAGACTGACAGCTGGAAGAGGGTGACTCTCTCCGGGCTGCAGGCTGACCGAGAGCTGGGCACCACCCGGCAGGCCGCCTGAACCTGCTGCAGGAGCTGAGAAAACACTGCAGAGGAGGTAAAACACAAAAAATTAATTCATCAAGGTGGTTTTGAGTCAACATTACATTAGAGTAAACTGTTCTTTAGAATCCTGCTTTAAGTTGGCTTTATAGTTTTGGATATTATTGGATAAACACGCTGAAGATTGTCTGAGCTACAGTGAGACTTCATGATATAAGCTGAGAAATATGATTTTAAGTATAAGCAGGCGTCTATACTGCAGAAACGTACACAAAGTACATGAGCAGCGCAATTTCAAATTGAACAAATGTATCCAAATTGTGCTTTTCTCAAGTTGTTATTTTCCTGAACATTTTCCTCACTTTCTCAAAGAGTTATGAAGTTTACTGAGATATTTCCACATGGCTTACATTTCCATTTTTTACTTTTCTGCTGTTTCACACTTTTTTTATGATCTCATGCCAAAATTATTTTCCATTTTCTCTCACCGTAACTGTTACAGTAGTTTTGTTTAGTTTTTTAAACTTTCTGGATCAGCTGCTGATCGGTTTCAGTAGATATCCACCCATCTTTTTTTGACAAACTTTTCTTTTATTTGTGGCAATTTCCTTCATATTTTCTCAGGTCTGCAAACCTTGCCACTTTCTAGTGATTCATAATATGCAGCAGTAAAACATTAGCTGCACTTAATCTATGATGACGGCATTCCTTGCTTTTTTATAGCCACTGGATAAAAGCCTGACTTTTATTACAGTGTGGGGCACTGTGAGATAAAAATGCCATGCATTCTTTCATAAAGTGGGACACCTGATCATCCCACTCAGGAGACTCTGTAAATACAGTCCCGATCGAAAATTTAAGACCACTTGAAAAATTGCAAAATATAAAAAAAATTAAAAAAAATAGCTTAGGCTGCTGCCCCCGCGACCCGGCCCCGGACAAAGCGGATGAAAATGGATGGATGGATGAAAAAAAATAATCATATTTTGTATGGTTGGATCTTAACAAGGTTATAAGTAGAGCTTCAAAATGCAACAAGAAGAATGGGAGTGAGAAAAAACATCTTTTTGAGCATGCAATTTATCAAAAACAAAGCTTAAACTGAAACAGGCTGTTTTACAGCTGATCCAAAGTTTAGGACCACACCTCCAAAACCCCCGTAAACCCAGTTATGAACTCAGTAATGAGTAGCTCCACCTCTTTTGTTGATAACTTCAAAAATTAATTGCGGCATGCTTGATGCAAGTGTTTCCATGAGGTGAGTGGGAAGATTTCTCCAAGTGGTGAAGACAGCCGAAAAAAGGGCATCTACTGTCTGGAACTGTTGTCCATTTTTGGAAACTACCCATCCCCAAAGCTTCTCAATTGGATTTAGATTGGGGAACGCACTGAATGGTTCAAAAGAGTGATGTTATTCTGCTATAAGAAGTCCCTTGTCCTGCAGGCATTGTGTACTCCACCATTGTCCTGTTGGAAAACCCAGTCGTTACCACACAGGCTCTCCGCAACATCCGGACATAGCCAGCGGACGTTTGATGCCCCTGCACCTCCTGAAGCTCCATTGTTCCTCTGAAGGAAAAAGCACCCCAGACCATTATGGCGCCCCCTCCACTGTGGCGTGTAGAAAACATCTCAGGTGGGATCTGTTTGTCATGCCAGTATCGTTGGAAACTATCAGGATGACCAAGTTTGAATTTTTTTTTCTCATCACAGAATAAAACTTTCTTCCACCTTTTAATGTCCCGTGTTTGGTGCTCTCTTGCAAAGTCCAAACGGTCAGTTCTGTGGCGTTCAAGGAGACGAGACCTTTGAGGACGTTTTTTGTTTTTAAAGCCCTTCAATCTCAGATGCCGTCTGATGGTTATGGGGCTGCAGTCGGCACCAGTAACGGCATTCATTTGAGTCAAGGTTCGTCCAGTGTCTTGACAGACAGCCAATTGGCTCCTCCAGCTCAGTATTGGTGAAAATTTTCTTGGGTCATCCAATTGACTTTTTTGTGGCATAACCCTCATCTTACTGTGTCCCACCTCAGCAGTGATAGAGCACTGTGAGAGTCCCTGCTTATTCAGTTCAACAATCTGACCACGTTCAAAAAGGGAACGTTTTTTGCCTTTGCTATCAGAATGTCATGACAGTGTGACTGCCTGACAGAAAATGACGAAGCCACGGTTTGTTTTTGTTTTTTTTACAGATTTGGCCTTTTAAAGGCGTGTGGTCCTAAACTTTTGATCAGCTGTAAAACAGCCTGCTTCAGTTTTGGCGTTGTTTCCAATAAATTGCATGCTCAAAAAAATGTTTTGTCTCACTTGTTGCATGTTGAAGCTCTACTTGAACCTTGCTAAGATCCAACCGTGCAAAATAAGATTTTTTGCCATTTTTCAAGAGGTCTTAAACTTTTGATCGGGACTGGATGTCCCGTTGTCTTTTAATTAACACTCATGGTCATAGGGGCCACTGTTGAGCAAAAAAGGGGGTGAGACTTGTTCAAGCATTTGTAGTTAAGGCGATGAGGTGCTTTTGTACCTTTCTCTGATTGGCCGGGCTGCTTGGCCTTCACCTTGTGTGTGTAACGCTTCTTCAGTGTCTTTGTGAAGCTGTCGATGTGGCAGCAGAAAGGAGAGCTGTTGTCGTGCACACACTCCTCCCAGAACAACAGCAGACCCCTCGTTCTCTGGGCCTTAGGAAGGACTGAGGATAAACAAAAGGAGAATCACTGTAAGAACCTGGACAAGGTTTTTATTGAAAATGTGAAATTGATAATTATAATAAAAAAAATCTCAATTTATTACTCATTTACTTTGAAAATAATGTGAATAAAAGAATGTGCCTTGTTTCATGCATTAACTGCAGATGTGGTTCTTAGATTACAGATTTTCCACTAACTGTCTCGTGTAGAGATGTTGTCATTCTTCTCCAGCAGCAGACAGCTGATTCTGTCCAGGACCTCAGCCTGGAGAGACATTTCCTCCAGCAGCTCCCTTCTAGACGGGGTGAAGTCGGTTGTTCTTATCATCTGAGGAAGCAGAGTTCACATTTGTTTGATTTAGAAAAGTAAGTTGGAGGTTTGACATAAATGAGAGTCAGGGATTTTGTAATCCAGTACACTGGAAGAAACAGATTACGGTGTAAGTGGTTGCCATCAGACTAAACAAGCAAATGCTGTCATGGTCACGAGGATTCAGTATTTGTTTTAGTTATTATAGACGTTTTGATTTAGTTTGTTCCCTTTTTATGTTCTGTTCCAGTCTTGTATCAGTGTTTGAGTCTGTGTTTGTCTTTCTATGTTCGCCTGTCTTGTTCAGCCCCCCCGTGTTAACCCTACTCCTCTGCGCCGATGTTTTCTTGTATCAAGTGTTACTTTCCCAGTTTTATTTTGCTACTGTCTTCAGCTGTGTTGAAGTCCCACACGTCTTTCCTCTTCTCTCATCACCTCTTGCAAATATATCACCTCAATCTTCCTTTGTTTTTTGTTGCGTCATCCCCATAGCTGTGTCCTCTAGCTCCGTTTAGCCTGTGCTTGCTTACATAAGGATTGTGGACTTTGAACTGTCTTTGGATTATTGGTTTTGACTTTTATTAATCTCTGAACTTCAAAATTAAATAATCGCTTTGAATTCAACTTCAGCCTTCACATGTCTGCATTTGGGTCTGCTAAATTATCCACTATCCACACTGCACCACATGACAAATAGTCGCTTATGAG